GGAGGCATTGGGCTAAACTATGCTATGTGGCCCCTGGAGAAGCCCCAAATCGTTCAGAAGTGGGATCTCAGCTGTTACGGAGCCAATGGATAAATGCACAAGATATCCGTTTGTTTATAGCACTTCCAAATCGCAAAGACTTTGAAATAATTTTTCTTCAGGACAGAGCTTTGCAGAGTTTTACTCAAATCTTTAATGCTGGTGTTGGAAATGGCTTCTGGAAGGATTGGGAGCTGGACACCTCTGCCCCACAAGATATTAGATTCATCTATGTGAAGTTCTGGACCGGCAAGGTGGCGGATGCTGATGTTGAGCAGTACCTACGCAGGTACTGTGAGATCTTACAGCCTGTGTTTAAACCTCTGGATCAGTTTGGCCTGTGGTATGGAGTCCGCCGTTATAAAGTGAAGCTGCATCATAATCCTGATGGCAGCCTTTACCAGATTCCAAATTCGATCACTTTGGGGCCGTATAACGGCAGGATCTCATACCCTGATCAGGTACAGAGGTGCTACATGTGTGGTTCTCAAGACCATCAAGTGAAAGACTGTGAGGCCTTGAAGTGTTGGAAGTGCGGGGAGCTTGGGCATAAAGGTAAAGAGTGCAAAAACACAGAACTATGTAATTTGTGCCAGGAACGAGGCCACACTTACTTTAAATGCCCAAGCTCTTATAGCAATAAAGCACGTGGACCAACACCAAAGCAATCTACTGACATCAACGCAGCTCAAAATGGAGAACATCAGGAGGACACGGCACCTCAAACCAGTGAGATCATCCAAGAAGCCCTTTTAAGAGCCGCCAAACTGTTTCAGTCCAAAAGAGCGAGTTTTCTAGAGTTCTCTTAAGTGCTGTGACGTGTCTCTTGCTAAGTTGGTGAATTTAAAGCATCGTTTAATCCTAATCAGTGCTGAAACCTGTTATTTATTTCTCTCTCCCAGTAGCAGTTCCTTGACTCAGCACACCTGATCCAGCTCATCAAGTGATCATGAACTGGATCAGGTGTGGTGGGGCAGGGAATGGCTGGAATGCGAAAGCAGAATTAAGAAACCCTGAGGTAAGGGTTAAGTAATATTGAGTTAATTGATGAGCAAGTGAAACTAGCTTTAGGGCAAAACCTTAGACTCATGTGGAAGTTAGGGTGAGTATAAGTGAGTTTACAGCCAGGCCAGAGACGTATGATGAAATGGAAGTGAGTAAAAGTAGGTCAGCAGTGAGGCTTTAGCTCTGTGATGTAGAGTCAGGTTTAGGCTCATGATGTAGTGAGAGTGAATAAAAGTTGGCCTTCAGCTGATGATCAAATTCCAGTTAGTACAGGTAGAGTGAGAGGTAATCCTTAGGCTATTGCTCATGGTAGAGTAAGCAAAAGTAGTTTTACATTGGTTTATCACTAAGGATGCCTCTTCAGAAGTAGTCAGAGTGGAGCTACCCCTGTGCTAAAATCATGAGGTAGAGAGCAATGCATGAGGCTTTTGATGAAGTTATCGAAATAAAGAGAGAGGTTTTGAGTTCATGATGCACTTGGAGTAAGGAAAAGTAGGCTCAGAACTAGGCATGAGTCTTATAATGGAGAGACATTAAGCAATAATAGGTGTAGACCTTAGACTTATGATGAAGTCTGAAGCAAAAACAGGCTTCCAGCAAGGCCTCAGGCTGATCATAGTTGGAGTGTATGTTAGAATAGATAGACCCTGGGCTTATGATGAAGTTAGATAAAGCAGTAGTAGGTATGGGACTTGGCTTCAAGCTTTGCAAGTGTTTACAGTGAGCATATGTTTGCTCATGTCTAGGTCCCAGGCTTATGATGAGGTCAAAGTAAGTGAAAGTAGGTTAATAAGTAAGTTTCTAGTTAGATATAGGGCTCCTGATGTAGACAGCATGAATAAAAGGAGGCTTTTTAGGGCTTATGATGAAGTTAGAGTAAGCAACAGGAGGCATATAGCTATATACTTTACTGTAGTAAACTAAATAGCAATGGTGTCAGTGCAAGGCCTTAGGTTCATGAAGAAGTTAGAGTAAAGCACAAACCTAAGACCCAGCTCTACAGCTCCTGTTTCTTACTCTATGTATATTTTAAATCTTAGGCTTTGGACGAAGCAAAAGTGGCCTTTCAGCTTGGCCCCAGACTCATCATATAAATAGAAATATGAAAGAGTAGCTATAGAGCTGGGCCTTAGGTCTATGAAGAAATTAAAGACTGTAAAAGTCAGTGTATGGAAAGGCCTTCAGCTTCTGACCAGGTAAAAATAAACAATATGGGCTTTCCTATTAGGCCTCAGGCTCATAATGCAGATAGAGTTAATGATGGTAGTTTAGAGCTAGGCCCCAGACTTATGGTGAGGTTTGAGTGAAGTGTGATCTAAAGCGCTCCATTAGACTTATGATGAGAAGACTTATGGAGAATTAATCAAGCACAGAGCTAGGATTTAGCTCATGCTGTAATTAGAGCTGGCCAAATTAGCCTCACAGCCAGACCTCAAGCTTATCATGTAGTTAAAGTAAGTGATCTTAGATTTAGAGCTGGGCCTTTGGTTTATGATGTAGCTGGAGTATTTCACAGCTAGGTCCCACTAAGTTTGTGACGACTTCAGGCTAAATCAATATTAGGGTCAGAGAGGAGTTAGGCTTCATTTTCTAGTAGGGTTAGAAGGGGTTTAGGGTTATTTCCCACTATGGTTACGGAGAAGTTCGGGTAAAGCTAATTAAAGTTAGAACGAGTTTGTGATTATTTCTAACTGGTCAAGTCAAAGTTTACTTCTATAAAAGCACATCAGCAGAGAGCAGCTCTGCCCCCAGTGGCCGCCAGCTTAGTGGGAGTTCGCTCACGCCCTCGCCGAGACTCTCCCCAAACGCGCCGTTGAGCTCTCTGAAGGCTCACGCCGCCATTTGCTGCAGTTTTTCACAGATTATTGCGTTAAATATACAGTATCTCATTCAGAGCAGCTGCTGTACAGCACCCTTTTAAGAGCGCCCTGCTAAACGAGGCGTCGCTGCGCACTCAATCCCAGACTTAGGAAACACGGCAGAGTCTTCTTTAATTGATTAAAAAATTTAAATACTATTTTTTTATGCATGTTAGTTAAACATTGTTTTCTTTTCAGGTCAGTTGGATTCATGGATGCATTCATGAAACAGAAACTGAGCGAATGGAAAGTAGAGATTCTACTCAGAAGACGTGTGTAGGTTCACTGCTGGCTTTGGATAGTAAATAGAAAGCCATATTTGTGCTGAAGTCACAGCAACCCCTATTTATTTGTGTATTTATTTATTTATTTATTTAGCAAGATTTCTCAGTTAGTCAGATATCTTTGATGAGAATTGTTCAGTAGGAATGTCCCTCAGCTCTTTTCCTCTTAGACAGGTTTAACTTATCTGGCTAAACTGAGAAATCCTGCTTTGTGGGATGCCCCACTGGTTCCTGTCACCATCACTGTACAGAAATCTGATCTCTGCAATCAACCATTTCACACCAAACCACTCTGAATGACTCTGTTTACGTCTCAAACAGTGAATTATACAGAGACTTTGAAAAATCGGTGGAGTTCCCCTTTATGAGCTGTGGCTCCCAGCTTTGACCCTGAGCACCCCTGACTTGTGTGTTTGTGTTTTCCTGCTTCAGTAAATTCACTTCAACACAAGACGTCCCTGTTTATAACTGATTAGTTTATTAAAGTCTGCTACAGGAGAGAAACTCCAAAATAAGGCGTCCTTCACCACATAATGTGCCATGAAATCAGGACTTTTAGCCAGCAATAAGAGAAAATTACATTTTCTCATTTATTGACAAATAAAATATCAGCCACTGATTTATCATGTAACGCTAATAACTTTGACATTAAACCATCTATACTGGTATTTGTGATGAAATGCATAACCTTAACCAGCACTTCTGCTAAAGCACCCTTTCATCTCTCTTTTGAGTCTCTCTTAGTTGAAGCGATTGATGAGGAGAGCGGCCTTTTATTGGACGATGCTTCCATTGCAGCGCTGGTTCCTGTAGAAGGTCTGAGGCTGAAGTTAAAATCGTGCCTGAAAAAGCTGAATGAGGTAAGGCAGCCGAATTCACCTGAG